CATGTTAACTGTCCAGTCAATGATTTGTTGCTCTACTCCGTGTCTCCTGAGGGCAGATTCAATGCTGGTGAAGTTGGTCTTATCGAAAGCACCCTCTATATCGATGAAGGTTCCGAGGCAGATAAGTTTATTTTGAAGGGCTTCTTCTATCTTACCGACTAACTGATGGAGAGCCGATTCAGTAGATTTACCTGAACTGTAGGCATGTTGATGTTTTTGTAGTGGGGCATTGATTAATGCTCCACTGCGTAGGTATCTGTCACATAGCCTTTCCATTGTCTTAAGTAAGAAGGTTGTTAGGCTAATGGGCCTGAAGGATTTAGGGTTAGTATAGTCGGTTTTACCCGGTTTGGGTATGAATACTACCTTGACCTCCCTCCACAGATGTGGAGTGTACCGATGAGCCAGACATGATCTTAGTATACGAGTAGCCGCATCGACCACGTCCTGTCCGCCCCATTGTAGTAGTGCTGGAAAGATGCCGTCAGAGCCAGCAGATTTGAAAGGCGCAAAGCAGTTGATAGCCCACTTTACTCCCTTCAGGCGTAATTACCGTCTCTGCTAGTCTCCAGCATCCTTCTGTTGTACTTGGAGGTTCATCTTGCCAAGTCACCTGCTCTGTAAGCTGGCAGTCCGGAAAGTGGGTTTCTAGGAGGATAGCGTCGCAGTCAGCACGATTGTGGGACAATGTGCCGTCAGGTCGACGCAGGCTTCCCAGCACGCCAGGGCCTTGCTTGGCCAGCAATTTCCTTACCCGGTTTGCCTGGTTGGTGGAGCTTATCTCCTCGGTGAAGTTCCTCCAGGAGGCTGTTCTCCAGTATCTAATACGTTTTTTGTACTTAGCTTTGGTAGCTTTGTAGTTGTCCCAGTCTGTGTCGCTGCATGTATTCATTGCTCTGTTAAGGCACTTCCTCACCTTTCCTCTCAATCTCTCGAGCTCCGGCCCCCACCAGTGGTGTTTTCCGGATACTCTCGAGTTCGGGAGTCTAAGGGGGCAGGCCTCTTCGTAGCAACGCGTTATGCTGTCCGTCAAGTGTTTTACCTGTTGTTCTAGCTGCTCCGTGGTTTCAACTCTGCCCTTACCGGAGTTGTTTCTTAGAAGGTCCGCCAGTAGTTGTGCGTAGCGGTGTTTATCGGTTTTCCGAGGGTACCTTTGGGGTGTAGGAGGTAGAGTTCCTACCTGTAGTGTAAAACGGATCCAGCGGTGATCTGAGCATGATGCCTCATTGGAGACATGCCAGCCAGATATAGCTGTTGCCGCTCTTGGTGTCGCGAGGGTCAGGTCTATGATGGTCTTGCACCGTCTGCCTACGAAGGTAGGTTCATTGCCTGTGTTGATTAACTCTAGGTTAGTAGTCAGAAGGAATTCAAATAATTGGTTACCTCTGTTGTTGCTTTGTTCCATTCCCCACACAGGGTGATGGGCATTGGAGTCTGTCGCGATGATCAGTTCTACGTTTTCCCGAGCACAGAAGCGGACCAGAGACGCAACGTTTTCTGGTGGGGCCCGCTCGCTGTCAGGCATATATGCAGAGGCTATGATCACGTCACAACTGTTATTATCTTGGTTTAGGGTCAGTTTTACAGCGCAGAGATCTCTGGAACAGAAATTCATTAAGGGCTGTGTTCTGATGTTTTTGGAAATGTATATGCAGGACCTTACGTCGCTAGTAGTGGCTTGAACGAGCTTACCTCCTATACTGGAGAGTCCTCGCACCGTGCCACTCCTAATCCACGGCTCCTGGATTAGTGCGACTGCTGTGTTGTTGGTCTCCAACCACCGCCGAAGCTGAGCCGTAGCGGTTACGCTGTGGTGGAGATTTATTTGCAGTATGTTTGCACTACTGCAGAGGGACGCCATCGTCCTGGCAGTCGACGTCCTCAAGTCCCAGCCCGTCGAGCTCCAGGAGACACTCCTCACTGAGCGGCGAAGACGCCACCTGCGAGGGTCCCGGAATTTCGACAGCCGGTGACGAGGCACGTAGAACAACGGCGTCCGTGGGGCCAGCGCTGGATGTGGATGGTGTTGGGGGCGCTGGTGTAGGTTTCGCTGTGGTTTGAGCCCCGAGTGGTGCTGAGGGGTTGGACGTCGGCAGAGTGTCGACGTACTTCCCCTTGGCGTCCCTGAACTTCAGGTACACCGACCCAAACATAAAGCTGAGTCGGCGTCCCCTAGCCAGGATCGCAGGCACAACGTCCTCGGGGATCGAAACCACAACGAATGTGGCCCCGATGGAAGGCTGCTGTTGGATGCCGTTAAGCAGCCAACGTTCGGGTGTCAGGTCTGGATTCCCGATCTGTAGGCATTTGCCTAGCAACGCCTGATCGTGTTTCCAGAGCTTAGGCAGCACAAAACCACACCTGACTCTCTTGGGGATCTCGTCGTCCCGGAGGACAACAAGCTCTCCCAGGTCCGAGTCGTGGAGGTCTCGTACCACCTGTTGGAACCACCCAAACGTTGCGGTGTTGGTGCAAGTGAAGCGAAGGCACCCGTCCGCGTAGAGGGGTTTCCCGCTAAATGCAAGACCCTCCCTCATACAGGCCGGACGCTCCGTGCTCATCGCTGCCTGTAAAAAGGCTTCCTCGAGCTTCTCCTCAATTTGCTCCGCCGTCGGTCTCGAGATAAACCCGGTCTTCGACGTAACGGCGCACCTGATGAGAGCCGAGGAGGCCGCTGCAGCTGCGTAGGATTGTGGGGCGGTCTCGGTCGCCGTCGTCTTAGGCCGTTTGGATTCGCCTCGAGGAGACACTGTCTCATCGAGCCTAGCCCGCTTGGCCCCAGACTTCGTCTTCGCGGGTCCTTTCCCCTTCTGCTTTGGGCGGTCCAGCTTCCGACTCGGGCCCGGCATCACCTGGGGTTGCTTGGGCAGCTGGCTGCCTTTCGCTCCCCCTGGAGTTCCAGAGCCCTTGTCTTCTGACTGGGCAATACGGTCGCTAGCAGAGGCCGTCAAACGGGCGGCCCGTTTGAGCTGCCGTCTCCTTCGCGTCCGCTCCCTCTGCTTCTCCAAACGCCTCGAGGTCTGACCGGATGGTGCAGGGGTCTGAGTTTCCTCTACCTTCCTAGCTCCTTTCCTGGTCACGACCGTCCAGTTCTGCTCTAGCAGATGTAAGGTGTCCTCAATTTGAGGTGTGGTGGTGCTTTTCTCAAGCACGCATTCCGATTTCTCGGTCTGCATGCGAGTAGCATTGCCCTCTGGTTTCCCATCGGGTGTTGGCGGAACGTTGAACCTGTTGGTGTCCATAGTTCGTGTGTTTAATCTTCATCCAGTCAGCTTCCCACCCTCCTTGGAGCCCGCACATTTGGGAGTGCCCATAGTGGTGCACTAGGATTACCGACTGGATATAGGAGCAGAGAGTTGGTGTCAGGTGCGACATCGGAAGCTCGAAATGTGTGGCTGGTTTACCGGTTCAGAGTACCCCAGTTGTTCCACACACCCTTGCCTCGTCAGCATGACCCTAACCATCCAGAACGGCAAGCCGCCCCGGACCCCTCCACTCCTCGCTGCGGCCCTCTGACGGGACGCGTGACCGTTTCCTCTCTGGCGCTACCCAAAGAGGCTACCGTTTCGGTTGAAATCCGGACCAAAGAGGGCGTGTTGTGTCGCGAAGGTACTACCGCCGACCTCGCTTCACTCAACCCTCCAGGACTCCTTCATCCCCCCTTACGGCGCTCAACTGCGCAGGCCATAGCGCAGGAGAGGCTAATAGTCTACCGGGCCGCCTCCCATTTTCCCGGTAGAGCCGAAGGCCTTTGTTAGGGTCGGCCTTAAGGAGTGACAGGATTCAGGATGAGGGAGGGGTTAACGATTAGTTAGTGTACGTTGCCTGTTAGCAGATCCAAGTATTACCGGGGTGAACGACGTGGACGTAAGAGTGACACTTGACGGTAGACGTGAATTGCCCAACAACGTACACTTGGGCTCACATCAGCCGCCCCTCCCCCCTAACGCCCCCTAAGCCAACGGCCAGGTCACAATACATACAAGAGTAGTACTTTGATTTCATACTAGCGCCCGAATCGACGCACGCACACAGACAAACGTCATTTACACGGTCACGGCTACGCAGTGCCACGTCGCGCGCCGCCTAGACTGGTCGTTGGCCGAGTTAAGTTAGCTGCGTCGCGCCGCCCGCACCGTCTACCTCCGTTTCGATTACGTTACGAGGCAATAGTACTCTCAACTAATATTAAATATTTAATAATGGCGGCGTAAATTTTGAAGGTACCAACTAGTGTTGCCAGGTTCGATTAGTTTTAAATCGGTACATGTGGTCAAAAAAATCGGGATTTAGGGTTGCAGATCGGGACAGTAAACAAAAAAACAAGGGGTTTTTAAATCTGGGTTTAATTTATTGCGTTTTAAACTACTATTGCAAGTATAGTATTATATTAATTACCTAAATTTATTTTTTTTAATCGGGACATTTAGCGTCCCGATTAGGTACAAATCGGGACGCTTCCCCAGACCCCTGAAAATCGGGACACCTGGCAACACTAGTACCAACCCTAGCGCTCCACTCAGTCGTAGGTATCTATTTCAAGAAAACGGCTGAGTTACGCTACTGCTCTTGTATGTATTGTGGCCAGGCCTACGAAAAGACCGATTTTTTGTTCCTTTGACAGGACTGGAGCCGCCTGAATTCGTAACTGACTAAATTAGTCACTTTGTAGAATCCTAACTAGAACGTCTGAATTTAGGCAGGTGGAATAAGCGCTTTACAGTGCTTAATTTTTAGGTTTAGGCTTAGGCTAATTGGTAAGAGTTCTGGAAATATTTAAAATCTTTATATATATAATTCTTCTGTGAGTGTGTATGTCACTGAACTTCTCTTAAACGACTGGACCGATTTTGATGAAATTTTTTGTGTGTGTTCAAGGGGATCTGAGAATGGTTTAGATTCACAATTTTGTCCGCTGGACAACCCCTATTTTTTTAGGGCGGTACGAAGTTCGCTGGTTCAGCTAGTATAATATATATTTTTATGAACAACGTATACAGGTTCACAACAAATGCTTCTCCATGAAATGCGTGGACTGCTTGCTGGTCAGAACTTGCTATAGCAGCTTCGTGTCGCATGTCCGACGCCATCGGCCTCTCCTACAGTAAGTTTCATTATCAACATCAGCATAATGTACCCACTGCTGGGGCACAGGCCTTCCCTATGGATGGAATAGGGAGATAGGGCCGAAAACCACTACGAGGCCCCAGTGGGGATTGATGGGTGCTAAAGACTGCAGATGCAGCCGGGACCGACGGCTTAACGTGCCTTCCGAAGCACCGAGGAGTGGGAGATAACAAGTTTTTCGTCACTCATCCTCTGGCCGGCCTTTGAGAAAGTTCCTTAACTTTCACGATCACTGAACGATCTCAAACAAATTTATTTATATCCTTGTAATGTCTCATGTTTAAATGTAATAGGGTATTTGACAAGTTTTAGAAAACGATCTCACGTTATTGACTATAGTTTATGGAGTCCGTCCGGAGTGGATATTCATCATTCTGTTGTGTATTTCAGTAAAAATAACCAAATCAAAAACTCCATTTTCAATTTGCCGCGAAAACGTTTCTCTGGACAATATGGCGTCTTACTAGTGTGTGACGTCACACGACTGTTATCAAAACGTCAAACGATACAATGTAATGTCACTTTAACAGGAACTTTACTTGCCTGTGACGTCATTTTAGGCTCCGCCATTCCTAAGCGTTTTGGGTCACGTGACAATAGATAAGAAAACTATTATCTTTTTCGTGGGTTTTTAGTAAAATTATGAATACTTTTTGTAAAAATAGTAAAATCCCCTGCCAATATTCATTCTAAATACAGATGCTAACAATTGGCACTTTATTTTTAATACTGTCAAATACCCTATTGAAGTCCAGTCAGTGGTAGAAAAATATGCCGCTTCATTACCTCCTTGCTGGCCTTATGATAATGGAAAATATTTAAATGTTCTTAATAAAATTGTAGTTAATCACCTAAAATACAATAAATTGATTAAGTTAGATTACCAATTGAATTTTTTGATGATCGGTTACCATTTTTTGATCTTCATTTAAATATGTCTTTTTCAATGTCCTAGCCACCGACCCAAGCCCCCGAAATACCCCGTGGAATCCTGGACTCTTGTCCTTTAAGTGTTAGGCGTTGGAGGTAAAAAAGATTAAGAATGAAATTCCGGCCACATTTGGTTTCATTTCAGCTCTTTGTAATTGTACTTGCAAACTACTCTTGCGAACTAAAAATTAATATGAAAAAGGCCTTTTTAGAGTCTGTGCGGAAAGAGAATGGGCGTGGCGAAAAACGGAACTAACATTAAGATTTTTATTTGGCAATCAAACCCAGCAATCTGTAAAACGTCAAAGTTTTGTATTGATACGGATTTGTTTGTTGCTGTGATTTCTTGCGGTTTTTTATATATAATTATGTCTAACAGGGGTAAAACCTTACTAAATCCCATTCTCTCTCCGCACCGACTCTAACATTGTTTTTAGTTCTATCCTACTAACTAAATAAAAGCTTTGACAAAACTATCTCTTGTGCGTTCGCAGAAAGTTCTGTCAATTCTGCAACATGTATTTCAAAGAGCCCGTACTGATGGCAGACCACATGAAGACTCACTCGGACAGCTCTATACCTCCCTGCGATGGCTGCGGCCAAATGTTCGAATCTATAGAACAGCAGAAAGAGCACGTGAAACGCTACGACCCTCCCCGCAAATCCTCATCGCTGACCAAAGAAGATTTGACCTGCGAAATATGCGACAAAGAGTTCACCACCAAAGCCACCCTTCGGAATCACAAAGAGATCCACGACGTGAACCGAGAGAAGAGATACACGTGTGAACTCTGCAGCAAGTCCTTCTTCGACAACACAAACTTGAGGAATCACCTCAAATTGCACAGTAAGAAGACGGAAGAGTGTCACATATGCAACAGAAAGTTTCACGCTAAACCGTATCTCAAGAACCATTTGAAAACACACACCAACGTGAAGCCATTCGCTTGTCCGGAATGCGGGAAGCACTTCAGGTTGAAAAGGCAACTTCAGAACCATATGCTGACGCATACAGACATTAAACCTTACAAATGCCTCGTTTGCGGCAAAGAGTTCAGAGTGGCGACACAATTGAAAGTGCACGAGGTTCAGCATACAGGCATAATGCCTTACTCGTGCAAATTCTGCGAAAGGAAGTTTGGGAATTGGTCCAATTGCAATAAACACATGATAAGGAAGCACGGTACGCCATTAGCGAAGACCAAAATGACTGCTTACGGAAGAATTTCTATAGAAGCTGTAACTCCCAACTTGAGCGGGTTGGATATGAACACCCAAGCCCATAGTTCGGAGATGAGAATGGATCAAATGAGATTGGAGCAAACTGATCTTAGGTTGGGACCTGATACGAGACTCGTTTCCGACAATATGAGGTTGAATAACGATATGCGCATGAATAACATTAATGATACGAGGTTGAATATTAATGATACGAGATTGAACATGAATGATACGAGGTTGAATATGAATGATACGAGGTTGAATATTAATGATACGAGATTGAACATTAATGATACGAGGTTGAACATTAATGATACGAGGTTGGCTAATGATACAAGGTTGGTTAATGATACAAGGCTGGCTAATGATATGAGACTGCCTACGGATATGAGATTGGCTACGGACATGAGGTTGGCTACGGATATGAGAATCGGATCCGATATGAGACTCGATATGAGTAAATACAGCTAAATCGTTGGTAATGTTTGCTTGTAAAATTTTCAACTTTCTGTTGGTCGAATGAAAGTAATTTAAATACAGAGAAGAAAGCAGGTCCAAATATTTTTATTTACAACTAGTGGCCCGCCCTCGCTTCGCTTCGGTGTAGAGTTGTAGTTTTTGTTCTCAGGCTTGTATTGTACACAATGAATTTATTTATATCATTATAATGACCTTTCATGAAAAACTTTTCTTGCTATAAACAGATGTAAAAAATGTCATAAAATCAGTCTTTTTTTTCTATATATTATATCGATATCATTTTATCGATACAAATATTATGTATTATAAGATAATTATGTATGTTGTAAAGTTCATCGCAAACACCTGTGCATTTTACTTAACTTTTATGCTTGATAAAATTTTGCACATACATTAAGAGTATTTTGTAATTTAAAAATTATCTCGAGTTTAAGAATACTTTTATAAGAAAAAATAGTAAATATAAATGTAGCCTAGTTTGCTAGGATGCTTTATTTCTTATCTATGTATATCTTATATGTATATATATGGTACGGCTGGACAAAAAAAATGGTGTGGTTATATGAAACCAGCGATGCATATGATTTTTTTTAAAGTGTGTTGTATGTTTTCAAATATACTAAATTCATGATAAAATATGTTTCTTTCTATGATTCGATTCTTCTACTATATTGTTTATCCCATTTTTTAGGATTGTGTTCATTGGCCCAAAATGAAACATCTCCTCCTAAGAGATATAAAAGAGATAATGCGGGCCATGAACATGCCTTATTTAGTTGATTTTATTTTGGCATATTAAAAGTGGGAAACAGGTCCCGATCTAGAAATTTTGCCGCTCCGGGCAAACATTTTTGCCGCCCTGGGCAAACATTTTTGGCGCCCTGGGCAAATATTTTTGCCGCCCTTAAGTGACGTACTATACGGCTGACCCTAAGTCAATTTTGCCGCTAATAATTTTTGCCGCTCTGCAAATGCCCGGATCCTTTGGATTTTGGATCTGGCCCTAATGGAAAATAAAAAAGTATTTCCATGACTGGGAATCGAATCCGGGCCGCCCGGGTGGCAGGTGAGCTTTCTACCACTGAACCAGCAATGCTTGTGGTCAAGGTCTATTTTTTTTAATAACTATAAAAATTGTAATGCGAAATACTAAAGATTTTGTGAAACGAAAAATTTTGTGGCAATGATATATAAGTTTCATAGTTATGATTTTTTTTTTTTTAAGCATTTAACTGCTAGATATTTAAATCTAAAGAAAAATTTACTAGAAAAAAATCCACGCGGACCAGGCAGCGGACGGGACTCGAACCCGCATCCTTCGCTATCCAGGCGAATGCACTGACCATTATGCTACCACGGCCCTATTAGCCGCGTTGAAATTTTCTTAGCCTTAAGCTGCAAGGCAGCGCCATCTCTTCGCATTGTAGGCGTTCTTTTCTAGTAAACTTTTCTTTAGATTTAAATATCTAGCAGTTAAATGCTTAAAAAATAAATAAAATCATAAATGTAAGTTTCATTTTAAAATATTAGGCCATTCACTAAACCGATTAGCGTTTAAAAAAAAACATTATTATAATTTTGTTTTATTGAAAACTAGCTGTGCTCCGCGGTGTTACCCGCGGTTTGTTAGGGAAAATAAATTGTGTATTAACAATAAGCCTGTGTGTTAATCCAGGGTGACAGCTAACTCCATACCAAATTTTATTAAAATCGCTCCAGCCGTTTAGACGTGAAGAAGTAACAAACATGCACACACACATACTTTCGCCTTTCTGATACGAGTGTGATTGAAATAATAAGCGATATTAAGTTTTTTGTCATGAATGGCTTTTTTTTGTCCACCAGTACTTATATTAAGTATTATATTGAAGTAGATTCTGGCATAAATCTCTAAATTTAAAATTGGATTTAACATCAGTCTCTCCTTTTCATTCTGTATAGAGAATGACAAGGATACACTGTTGTCAAATTTAAATTTAGATTAAAGATTCATGCCAGAATCGACACCAATAATGTCACAGGGCTGTTAATATATTTTAAAATTTAATTTAAGGACGTTTTTTTGTGACTTTTAGTTTCGTTATAAGAATTTTACGTTAAAAAAGTGCAAAAGTTAAATGAAAATAATTCATGTTATTAATTTTTATAAAGAATGAAGAAATCACGAGCTTGTAATCACTTATTATTCTTTCCAAACTTTTTTGTTGGATTATTTTTTTTAATATCTATGATCTCATTAAAAAGGTTTTATTTTAATCAATTAAATCATGAATAAATTAGTTTTTTTTTTAATTTATTTCCACCTCTGCTTTAAGCGGATTTTTACACGTAAAAAATAAAACCTTGTTATTTATGATAAAAGCAATCAAATCGTCGCTTAATTATATATTTTTCAACATTAATTCCAAATTTTAGTTCCATCCAAGAAAGAAAATATTTTATTTAATGTTAGAATATAATTTTATTTTATAATAGTTTTCATAGCATCAACTTAGTTGCAATTATTTGTAGCTTACTTGTAGATTATTCTTTAATTGTTAAAATTCAATTTGATTATAAGTATAATATAAATTAGTGTTGTTATTGATAGATCTATTATGTTTTTTTAGTAAGTAAATAATAAAGCTGATTTCTCATATGGTTTTATGATTTATTTATTTAACATAGCACCAAAAGATAAGTCTTCTTTTTTTATTATTATTATAATGGCTCGCACGGTTTGTGCATTGGCCACGACAGGTAAGGAAACCAAAATAGTGAAATAAAAAGATTGTAAAACGGAATTTGGAAGGATTAAGATCAGGTAGGTACGTTAAATTAATTTGAAACGTAAGTAATAGGTCTTTATTATATTATATAAGTATATAATAGTACATTACGATACGCGTGACCTAAGTTGCCTATTACTGCACGGCGTGAAGTTAGCGCCCGGTGCTAAACGCCGTGCAGTAATAGAAAACTTAGGCCACAAGTATCGTATACTATTTTATAGCAAGTGTGACATAAACCCGCCCCGGACGCGGGCAAGAGGGGGGGGGGGGGGGGGCGGTTCGTGTTTTGAAAGTAAAATTCATGTATTGCAATCACAAAGAATTGCAATACAGACTGTAAGTCAAACTCTGAAAAGAAAGAATTCCGGTTCAGATTACCATTTTGAAAGTATATTTCAAAAGGAAAAAATCAAATATCATTACAACAAAATAGAATTTCAATGTATCCATGAACGTTTATTCCTTGATTGGCATAGTAAAGTTAAGTTACGCGTATCGTAATGTACTAATTCTACATGAGTGTAGTTGGTCAATTCATTTACACGATTTGCGGAAAATTGATCGAAAACAATTCTTCGAACACAATTCATCGAAAAAACAATTCGTCGAAAAACAATTCTTCGAACGGTAATTCCAAAAAAAAAATGAAAATTTAGCAGGAGGGAGGCTAAAACGAGGTGGGGAAAGGGGAAAAAAAGTATGAAAAAAAAAAAACGTTGCACGTACAAAAGTGTCGTTTCTGGCGCTTCGCCGGCCGCTGCCGCGGCACGCTCGCTCCGCTCGCTCGGCTCGCGCGTTTTTGGTCATCATACTAACCTAACCTAACCTAATGAACTCTTTAGACTTTATTCATTGCGGGGGCTGCGCCCCCCCGCCCCACTTCGGTTCTGTCACTAATAATATGAAATATAAAAAGCATGAAATTGTTTTTCGGGGAATTACCGTTCGAAGAATTGTTGTTCGACGAATTATTTTTTCGATGAATTGTGTTCGAAGAATTGTAATTCGATGAATTGTTTTCGATGATTTTTCCGGTGAGGCATTTACACACCGTGCAGAAATAGGCAACTTACGTCACGGAAAAGCGTGCGTAAAGTGCGGGTTTAGGTCACACTGTGCTATAAAATACATTATATTATTTGTATTAATAATATTTAATACTTATAATTTTATATTATGTTTAGTTAGGAATTCAAATAGCTTGCTACATGTATTATAATCTTTATAATACAATAAGGAAGGAATGGAAGTAGGGAGAGGTACATTAAGGGATATTAATGAAGACTAGTGGCCCGCCCTCGCTTCGCTTCGGTGTAGAGCTGAAGTGTAGACTACAGTTTTTATTCTCAGGCTTTTATTATACACAATGACATTCATCTATGATTCTTATTATACCTGCAAGCAAAGTCTCAGCCCGATCGGTTTAAAATGGACAAAGTTTCATACAAACTTTCATTCCCTATTTTATCCCCTTGGGGGTAGAATTGATCAAAATCCTTTCTTAGCGGATGCCTACGTCATAACATCTACCTGCATGCCAAATTTGAACCCGATCCGTCCAGTGGTTTGGCCTGCGTTTTATATATACAGATAGATAAGTCTTCTCTCACTAAGGATTTATATTAAATTTTTAATCCCCGGCGGGAAAAGAGGGGCTAAGCTTACTACATTTGTAAATATATAAAAATAAATTAGCATAAATTTAATAAAACGCATTTTAAATCATTTTAACAAGGATGAAAGGTATCCTATTTGTCAATCTAGGAGATAATACAGGGTGTAATAAAACCTATGACAAAGACTTAAACTACGCATTCTGTACACCCAAACAAGTCATATTACAAAATATTATACGTGGGAAAAAAATATATTTTTAAGTTAATTTTTTTCCAGTACGCAAGGTATAACCTGGTATAGCGCGGCGCGCTAATGTGGCGCTACGCAAAGAATGTGCCTGTGTGTATGTGTTTGCGTGTGTAAGTGCGTCGATAAAAAAGTTTCTAAATAACGTTTTGAAAATATTAATGTATAAAACTGGAAAAAAAAATTTTGGCTTTGACCTTCAATATCTCCATAACCATAAATTTCCCAGGTATGGTCCAGAACCCGTGGCAGTTTGGCTGGGTCTGCTATCGGGCGCGTCCTCTCGGGTGGCGGATGGGAGGTACCGGCTTCAGCCGGCGTGGACCATACCCAGCTGTGGAGACCTGGTTGGCGTCCTGGGTATCCCGGGTAGCGGCAGTCGGGTCAAACTCGTAACCCTGCACATAGTGCGGGGCCGAGGGCCGCCGCCTGCAAAGGAACTGTTTCCTTTGGAGGCGGGGGCTGCGAGGAAGACAACCTCTCTAAAAAATTACCCGGTGGTGGTCTCGGCTGGCATCCTGGGTATCCCGGGCAGCGGCAGTCGGGTCAAGTTCGTAACCCTGTACATAGTGCGGGGCCGAGGGCCGCCGCCTGCAAAGGAACTGTTTCCTTTGGAGGCGGGGGAAGACAACCTCTCTAAAAAATTACCCGAGGGGTCTCTCGGCCGGCGCCCTGGGTAGCCCGGGTAGCGGTGGTCGAGACTCTACAGGTTGAGGCGGAAACGCCATTGGCGTCGCCTCCGGCCAACCCGTAACCCCGCACGTGGTGTGGGGCCGGGGGCCGCGGTCCTTCGGGGCGGGGGCTGCAAGGAAGAAAACCTTTTCAAAAATTACCTTTTGATGAGGTCAGGTAGGGTTCCCTCGCCCGGAAGAGGGACCTTTTTGATGAAAATGTCGTTGTTTGAGAATCGTTTGTCATGCTCTGCCGCTGTCACCGGGCGCTCTGAGGTAGTTGGGCCTCAGAGTGGTAAATTGACTACTAGCGGCTTATGCGCTCCGGCTGGCCACCGGCGCTGCGGGATTACCGGGTCCCGCAGTGGTAAATTGGTTACCGAGGCGTTTGAAGGAGAGGAGGGATGTGTCCTGCGTCTTAGAGGCGGCGGGGACGAGGAGGATAGGGTGGATGCAAGACCGATGCCCCCCAAGGTGAGCAAGATAAGGAAGGGGAAGGGTAGGAGCCAAACCTCCCTGGATTCCCGTTCTGTGGAGCTCACGCCAGGAGGAGAAGTAATCCTGTGGGAAGATGTAGATAAATTGACGCCAGACCAGTTCGCGGAAGCGATCGGCTCGCGCCTGTTCCACCTGGACGGGAGAATAGAAGATGGCGAACGCTCTGGCAGATCCAATATTCTGCAGCCGACACGTGAGGCGAGGTGGTTCCTGGAGGTGGCCACACGGAAGTTGGAGGCGGTGGAAGAAATAGAGGAGGAGAACCTCCGCCTAAAAGAGAAGAACCACAAAATGAAGGCCGAGATCGAAGCCAGGCGAAGGGAACTGAGGTCACTGAGGAGACAGATGGAGGAGAGGGCACATTCTGCGGCTCCTCCAACCACACAATTGGTGCCGTTGGAGGCCGTCGAGGAGCTGAAACGCTCCCTTATGATATCTATAGGGGAGATGGTCAGTGTCGCGAC